CATCTACTCACCCAACCTCCCATCTACTCACCCAACCTCCCATCTACTAGAAATATTAAGGGGAAATCTGGGGGATGCAGCATGTACTTCTCTAGGGGTGTGTGTGTGTGTGTGTGTGTGTGCGCGCGCATGTTTGAATGACTTAAAAATAATACAATGAATATTTCGTAGCTATACCAGAAACGATAAATCTACATGAGGGTCATTCTTCAAGATCTGCCATAGCCTTTTTGAGACCATGCACAAGCGGCTTTGCTCAAACACCGAAGAGCTTCTCCCCGACCCTTTTAAGATTTTATTTATTTATTTATTTGAGAGAGAGAGCATGAGCAGTGGGGAGAGAGAGAAGCAGGCTCCCCACTGAGCAGGGAGCCCAATGTGGGGCTCAATCCCAGGACCACAGGATCATGACCTGAGCTGAAGGCAGACGCTTTATCAACTGAGCCACCCAGGCGCCCCAACTTCTTCCCCTTTGGAGCCAGGTTAATAGTAATACCAATTTAAGTGAATCACTCAAGTAATTCTCAAAAGTACTATCATTATCCCCGTTCTATAGAAAGAAAGCTCAAGCACAGGCTGGTTAAGTGACTTGCTCAAGGTCACTGCGTGAGGGAGAGGAGAGCCAAGATTTAAACCTAGAAGAATAAGAATCTGTTTCTCAAATGGACTGAAGGTCGGAAAACCGCAGGTGGACACAGGGGGAAATAATCTCTGTTGAAAGGAAAGGATATCTGTCTCTGTTCAGGCCTGAAAAGTTGTCTGGGGAGTCAGATGGTGCTTCAACACCATGGGCAAGGCTTTCATTCTTAAGCTGAGTGGTGAGTTCCTCAGTGTTTGCTGTATTCTTTCTATCTCTGTGTTTCTGGCCAGTATCTTATTAAAAAATTAAGTGCCACATGGGGGCGCCTGAGTGGCTCAGTCGTTGGGTATCTGCCTTCAGCTCAGGTCATGGTCCCGGGGTGCTGGGATCGAGCCCCGTATTGGGCTCCCTGCTCGGCGGGAAGCCTGCTTCTCCCTCTCCCTCTACCCCTCCCCCCTGCTTGTGTTCCCTCTCTCAGTGTCTCTGTCAAATAAATAAATAAAATCTTTAAAAAAAAATTAAGTGCCGCATGAATAGACATTTCTCCAAAGAAGACATTCAAATGGCCAACAAGCATATGAATAGATGCTGAACATCACTAATCATTCGAGAAATGCTATCAAAATCACAATGAGATACCACCTCCCACCTGTTAGGATGACCATTATCAAAAAAACAGAATAACAAGTGTTGGTGAGGATGTGGAAAACCGGATCCTTTGTATATTGATGGCGGGAATGTAAAATCATGTGTGGAAAAGCAGTACAGAGCTTCCTCAAAAACTACAAAAATACCTTATGATCTTGCAGTCCCACTTCTGGGTAAATATACAAAAGAACTGAAAGCAGGACCTCAAAGAAATATTTGCACATCCATGTTCACTGCAGCATTATTCATAATAGCCAAGAGGTGGAACTAGCCCAAATGTCCACGGATGGATGAACGAATACAGAAAATATGGTGTATATATATATATATATATATATATATATATATAATGGAATATTCTTTAGTCTTGAAAAAGAAATTCTGTGACATGCTACAATATGGATGAGCCTCAAGAGCATTATGGTGAGTGAAATAAGCCAGTCACAAAAGGCCAAATACTGCACAACTCCATTTATACGAGGTAAATAAAGTCACCCAAATCATGGAAGCAAAGTGGACCGGTGGTTGCCACCAGGAGAAATTAATCGGGAGCTGTTCAATGGATATAGTTTCCATTTTGCAAGTTGAGAAACTTCTAGAGATTTGCCACACAACAATGTAAATATGGTTGACGCTGCTGAACTATGCACTGGAAATGGTTAGGGTAAATTTTATATATGTATTTTTAACTATAAGTAAACATTTTTAAGTTTTCTAAAAAAACAAAATGCCTAGGGAAGTACCTAGAATGCAGTACTTGTACTAGACATTCTCTGCTCTTCCATCCTGGGAAGAGCAATGTCAACAGCAAACCTTTAGGGAGCTTCTGCCTACGGTGTCCCCCACTGTGTATCAGGAAGGCCGTGTCCGGACTTAGAGCACAGGAGGCAGGAGGACAAAGCAGTAAGAGTCGGGGCTCTGTGGTCAGACTGCCAGCACCCGGGTCCTGAACCTGCCACAGGGGCCATGTGGCCGTGGGTTTGTTGCCAGGCCTCTTGGCATAGGTGCCTGCCTTGATGAATGTGGAGGGGTTTAAGTGGGATACTGACAAATATGACACAGCTAAATCAGTCACTACAGGGTGCTGAGAAGGAGCTCGGCACACAGCGCCATGACTCGGCCAGTCCTCCCGGCGGCCCTGCGGGCTCGGAGAGGCTCATGTAGGTCAGAGCTGGGGAGTGTGAGCCGAGGCTACCGGCTCCACACTGGGTGCAACTGGACTCCCAGGAGTGTGTGTTCATTCCTGTTTCTCTCCAGCCCCACTCCCTAGCAATGATTAAAGCTTTTCCCAATCCCACGGTGATAGTTAAGTCGTTTTTAAAACAGAGCTTGTCAACAGTTTTGGAGAGCATAAAGCTTTTCACCAAAACCCCACCAACAAAGCCAACTCTAGAGCCGGAGACGGGTGCAGACCGTGGCTCTGGCATGCATAGTCGGTGGGACATGGGGAGTCACCTGACCTTTCAGTGCCCGTCTCTTCGTGCGGATAATATGGCAGAGATCATACCTGCCAGTGGGGATTGTCCTGAGATTTGAATGAGAGACTGGATGAAAAGCACCCAGCACGACCGAGTCCAGGTGGCAGGCATCCCACATGTGCTCACTGCACCTGTTACCCCATGAGTCCATGGCATACTTGGGGGACCCTCAGTCTGCGTGTCGGTTTTGTTCCGAGCACCCAGCCGCTCCAGAGCAATTGTGGAGCCGCAGAGAGAGCACGGGACTGAGAGACCTGGTTGTGGGTCAAGTCTTGGCTCCGCCCGCGAGGCCCAGAGAGGCGAGCGGACCACCCTGCCTCCCCCGTGCCTTCTGTAAAGTGAAGGTGCTCGGCCAGACAACCTTCTCTCAGTTGTGTGTTACGATCCTTGTCAAGTAGCTGCCTTTCCCATGCAGTGTTTCATTATCAGACTGCAGAACCTCAAGAGAAACAATGGGCAAGGCCATCTTCAGAGGAGAACCTGCCCTGCCCTCGATGCCTTACACCCTTGGCTGGTGGCTTGGCTCTGAAGAGTGGCCCAAGACCACCCTCCATCACACAGAGACAGAGCCCGAGGCAAAGGCCAAGGTGAAGAACCGTGAGGCCGCCACCCTCCAAGGGGCTGGGGCCAGGACAGCCCCTCTGGGGCCTCCAAACGCACCAGGGCAAGAGGCACCTCCTCTTGGGCCGCCCCGACCCCAGGAAAGAACTAAGTATGACTTACATTAAGACTAAGCATCAGTAACATGAACTGAGGAGGGAAAAGGTATGAAGAGCCTGAGTTAGACAGTTTTTGCATTGGATAGACATATTCCTCCGGCTAGGGGCCACGAGTACTTAGACTGCTAGACTGACAGTACCCAGACTGACCGTGGCGAGGCAAAGACCCCGGCACGACCGTGTCAGGAAACAGAGACGGCGCACTTCACACAAACGGACTGGTATGGAAGATGTTTGCACAACTGAGATGTCCTGTAGGAGAAGGCCCTCTCAGCGCCCTGCAGCCACCTGCCCGCTTCCCCAGGCCCGTCCCCGCCAGCCTGACCAGAGCGCGGGGGGCTCAGCTCCGCCGGGGGGCCTCACCTTGTGCGTCATCAGTAACTTAAAGACATTCGACAAGAGGCTGGAAACTTGAAGCTGGAAAACAGGATAAAACTGACTGCAGAGTCCCCTCCACCGCTCCTCTCCCTTGCAGGCCCCGTCCCTCCCCGTCCCTCCCACCCACACCCGCTCACACCCACACTAGCAACCACCACCCCCCGCCCACACACACACCAGCTGTCGGACAAATTCCAGAAAGGACCACACGCGCACCAGCACAGCCCCCATCGTACTAGTGAGTTCAAAGACCCCTGCCGGAGTCGAGCCTTGAGGCCCGTCCGCCCTGTCACTCCCACCACTCCCAGCACGCACACAATCACATCCGAATCCATGAGATCCGCAGGGCCGGCCTGCCAGCCACCCATCCTCACGACCAGGGGGCCACTCCTTGCTCTGACTCACTCCTGCTAGTGTAGACCATGCACTCGGTGAGAAAACAGTCGAGTTTGCTAGAACTGTGTCTAAAACACAGAGTGGGCTTTGGTTCAGGTGTAAATAAAGGACATGAACGTTAGGTATGTCCTTTGGCTGCTCAAGGGCCTTAGTCCTCCCTCCCACCCTGCTCAGCCGAGCTCCTGATCCCGGTGAAGCAGCAGAATGGCTGCACCCGGGACAGGAAGGGGTTACGGCACTATAAATGCCACCAGGTCACGGAGCCACTCCTGAGAGCCAGGGACTCCAGGGACCTGCCTCACACCCGGAAGATGCGGGCAGAGGACAGGTTTGCTCTTTATCTGCCTTAAAACTCAACCCCACTCAACCCCCAACTCCCCATAAAGAGGGTCTCCCTTCGACCTTTGCTCCATCTAAGGGCCAGGGCGGTAAACGCCCCACGGCCTCCACCCCCCGAGTGGCCTGCTCACCTTTTCCAGGGTGATGGTGTTCTTCCTGGCCTGGGTCACCAGTGTGGCCATCTCAGCCTTGAACCCCTCCACGTCCCTGCACTCGCTGGCCCGGGCATGATGCAGGATGAGCTCGGCCACTCTCTGGCCCTACAAGACGTGAAAGAAAGGAACTTGGTAGAGTCAAGAGACCATAAAACTAGACGCTCTGCCTCATATCCTAGGTGCTTCTACCCAAGGTTTCAACCATCCTGCCTTTGACCACCCATCCTTTTTTAATCTTGCCCCTCTCCAGAATAGCTGGTAACCGACAGAGACTTTGAAAGTGGTGGCACCCCCACTGGCCTAGCGCAGCCAGGGCCAGGAGCTGTGTTCATCTCCTTCACCTTCAACAGACACGCAGGGCACAGCAGCAAAGCCAGTGTCCTGCCGCTCACGCTCCACGAGGCCCTGCTGACCAACCAGCCCGTCCCCAGAGTCACCAGGACCTGCCTCTGGACTCGATCGGCCACACTCGCCTTGTGGGCTCTCTTCCTGGCCGAGGAGCATTCCCTCCTCACACCTGACCCAGCCTCTGTGCTCCAGCCTCCCACCTCCTCCTCTGCCCCGGGCGCCCTCAGACCAGAACCTCCCGGGCCCCCTAAACACCCTAGTGGTCACTCCCAGAGCCTTTCGCCTCCCCCAGTGCCGCCCTGGGAGCCGAGCTCTTCCTCTCTGGCTGTGACCTTCCTTCACCCCAACCTGTGCAGGGGAACGTCCCCCCACCCTCCGCCTGCCACTGCACCTGTGTTTAACCTTGACTCAGGGGACACTTTCAACTGTCTCAGGCTGCTCAAGCCTTTGGTTTGTCCCCTCAGAAGGCTCCCAAAGGAGCAGGGGCTCCCCTGAATTTTGCCTTTATTAAAAACAACAACAACAACAACAACAAAAACAAAACAGTTCTCTCTTTGCCAGGGTCTTTCTTGCTGGAAAATTCCACACCAGTTGGTCGGAGGGTTTCTTCATTGTCACTCTTGACTCAGTAGAGGTTGTGCTGAATCCCTTTCTGTAAATAATAATTCTCAACCACCGGAGCCCCTCACAGCCAAAGGGTCAGGAGTCAAAAACCACTCCAGATCCCAAGGGGTCGTCCCAGCCTTGGAGGCTAAGTCTGTGTTGGGGCTTCTCACCGGCCTGCCGTCTTGTAGCAAGTGGCACAGGCCAGGCCGGCTGTGACTCGGACCAGAAGCCAGTGTTCCCAGCGCCCACCCGCAGGCCTGCCGCGGAGGGGAGAGAAACTCCCTGCAGGTGGCAGCATTCAGGGTGGAGCCATTTCCTCCCCTGGTCCCAAACCATGAGCTACTCAGAACAGGTGACACACGTGGGCCTCAGCACCTTCTGACTAAAGACCCCTCGGCTGGCTTCATTTTCTCTCCCCCCCTCCCTCCCAATCCCTCCCCCCTCACTCCACTCCGTCCGTCGGGAGCACCAGAGGCAAACGGACACATTTACAAGACTGACGAGGGCCGAGGGGTCCCGCAGTTCAAGACTGTCCCCAGCTCCCGCGGGCCCAGTGGGTCTCACCTGCCCCATCGCCACAGCCATGAAAACGGCGCGGAAGTTGCTCAGGTCGGCAGCCCGCAGCTCTGCCACGATGCCGGCATCCAGCAGCACCAGGCGCAGCGGGCGGCAGGCGGGCGGCGTGGCCCCCACCAGCGCGTCACAGACCCCCACCTGCTGCAGCTGTGCCTCTGGACTCCCGGAAAGACCGTCGGCACCCTGGACCAGGATGTTCCCAGGGTGGAGGTCCGCGTGGACGAAGTTGTCCACAAATATCTGAAAGGAGATCAGCGCTATTCAAGGCAGAGTCACCCCTTGCCGCCCCATCACCACCAGGCCGTGTGCAAAAAAGCTTCCAAGGTGACAGTGAGTGCCCAGGGATTGAGTACACCATTTCATAAAGGCTCACTGCTTATGTCATGCATTCAGAATCTGTACTGGCATAGGCCAGGTTGACATTTTTAAGAGAAAAATTATTTCTGGTTAAGCGTCTGCCTTCAGCTCAGGTCATGATCCCAGGGTCCTGGGATCGAGCCCTGCATCGGGCTCCCCCTGCTCGGCAGGGAGCCTCCTTCTCCCTCTCCATCTGCCTGCCACTCTCCCTTCTTGTGCTCTCTCTCTCTCTCTCTGTGTCAAATAAATAAAAATAAATAAATATCTTTTAAAATTTTTTTCATACATCAGACTTCCCCTCCATTACCTCCATCTGCCCATCCCAGTGACGTCTGACCGTGATACCGACAACCATCCCGGCACACAGAATCGGGTGGGCCGGGGAAGTGGCTTTGAACCTACTAAGCAGGAAAGAAAGCCCCAGGGACTACGATGGACTACGCAAGTCAGGTGTGATTCGTGGGGCAGGAATAAGGTCGTCTCTGTCGTCAGAAACCACCCGCAGTGCTTCTAGAGGGGAAGGAGAGCCCAGAGGCCGGCGCCGAGAACTGCCGCCACAGAGGCTCTCCGGGACTCCTCCTGCCGCAGCCCCAGGCCACACAGAGACCCCCCGGTCGGGGTTCTGGCTCTGAAGGCAGCAAGAGGCTGCTTCCCTGGTGAAAATCCTGAGAACTAGAGAAGCCGGGGCTGGCACACCTGCCGGACGTGGGTTCGAAGGGCTGGCTGACCCCTGACACCAGGGCTGAACCTCTTGGCGCATGGCTGTCAGCTTAGCCCCCCAGCTTTCGCCCCCGTCCTCCATCCTACAAGCTGGAGCCCGTCATGATCTCCTGCCTCCTGGGTCCGCTTGGTGCTGTTTCTCCCCTAGCTGCTCCCACTGCAGCTTCCCCTCCGGCCCAGGGTGGCCTGGTTCCCCACTGAGTGGACACCCAGCTCTCCCCACACAATCCCGCCGCTCCAGGAGCCCCTCGGGTGGGGGCTGCTGACTTTCCCCCAGAGGCTAGAGGTGGAGGCAGGGCCTGCTCCGAGCTCCTGTTCCCACCCCTGCCCCACTTTGGCCACCGGCCTCGTTCCCCACGGCTCACGTCAGTCACGTGGGTTCTGTCCTCCCACCTGGTTCCTTCTCACCCAGCCCCTGCACCCTCCAGGCCTGGACGCTCATCCTCTTTCCTGCCAACCACGGGCCATCCATCCCCCGACCACGGTCTCCCGTGCCGGCCACCAGGAAGAGCTCAGGCCCTACACTTCCGTACCTTCTTCCTTCACTCCTCCACGTGAGCCGCTATGAATGCCTGAAAGCTGACACGGCTGAGGGCTCACTATGTCCCTCTACGAGTGTCCTTTTCATCGTCAGGCTGTCCCCTCGTAGGTGACACCGAGACTTTACATCTCAGCTCAGATGGTGCCACTTCCTGAATAAATCCCGAGGCCAGGACAGGCCCCTCCTAAATGACCCTGTGCTACCTGTGTCCTTTATTTGTGGCCTGTCTTCCCAGAGAACGGCAGTTCCATGAACATTGTAATCATGTCTGTTTCGCTCACTACTGTAAATCTAGCACTTAATTCAGTGCCTGGCACAGAATACGTGCTCGATAAACACTGCCGGATGAATGAATGAAGTGCCACTGAACATACGATATCTTCGGCTGTCTAAACTGTAGGCAACGTGGGCAGGGCCTGGGTCTGTCTCCCCGCTCTTCCCACAGCACCCGGCACGGTGACAGAATGCATGCCCCCAAGACTGTGCTTAACAGAAAGGCACAGAATGAAGGGGCTACTTCCGGAGCAGACTCTCACCATGGTGGCTTGCTGCTTTGCTCACCCCCCACCGCCCATGGCAGCCGACCGGTGTCTCCGCCACCTCCCCACACGCAACTCGACCACCTGCGGGGCCAGAGCACCCTCTCCAAGCCCACGAGCTCACCATCTTCAGGAGCATGTTGATCCCCAGCCGTGCAATCTTCTTCTTCAAGTCAGTGGGAATCCCCGCCTGCTGGTAGCTGGACACAGGCACGCTCTCCTTTAAGGAAGGTCAGGAAAGAGAGAGCTTTACCCTGGACAGCCCGCCCAGTGCCCTGCTCTTCATCCCCACGGGACACATCGGCGCCACCTTCCCGTCCCGACTCTTCCCAAAGAGTTTTCCCTTCCTTACAATCCCTCTGAATCTGTCACCCACAAGTTAATTTTAACCTGTTTGCTCTTCCCTTCTGTAACACTTCTCAAAAGAAAACAAGTCCCATAGGCTTATTATGGAGGAAACCCATGACTCCACCACCCACAGATAAGAGATGTTGTAATGTCATGAGAGAAGACAGGAGCAGGCCTCAGGAGAGCCAACAGGGACATGAGTGAGCCCTGTGACCTCGAGCAGGAAAGAAAGGGGAGAAAGAGAAGAAAGGGGAAAGTAAACATTTCATATAGGTTAGTTATTTGTCCATGGAGACAAGTGCCCATTGAGATCGATCTTGTTATTCCTCAGTAGCAAAGAGAAGAACTAAAGCCCAGAGAGTTTAAGTAACTTGCTCAAGGTCACACAGCCAGTAACAGTGGGTCTTTCATGTCACTTCCCTGGGTCTCACGTTACCATTTTTACAAAGGAGGCCGGACCAGGCAACAGCTAAGGCCAACGATGTGACACCAACACCTTCCTGAGCACTTTTTCTTTGCAAACTCTGTGCTGAAGGCAGTTTGCATTCAACGTGTCACTGACTCCTGGGACAAGCCTACAAGGCAGGGACAGGCACCCACTGTTACACAGGAGGAAAATGAAGTCACCAGCAAATAAAATGGAAAGATTTTCAAGCCCAGAAAAGTCTGGGGCCATGTCCAGGCTCCCAGCCATCTCCCTCTGCTGCCTCCCCACCCCGTATTTGAACTCCCCTCAGCTTTACGGACAGTAATCACATGCTCTCTTGGCTTTTGTCTTTTCAGCGGAGATGGCCCAGCCGTGAGCGAAAGGCACAGCCCCAGGAAGCTCTCACTTACTTCGTACGTCTCCACCAAGACATCCCTGGTGACAAAGGGACGCAGAGGGGTGGGGAATTTGACAGAATTCACATTCAGGAAGTTGCACTGGAAGTGTTCTAGATTCTGGGCTTCGTAACGCAGGTCGATCTAGAGGGGTATGGAGAGAAGGGTTGAGGGGTGACCTGGGCACCGGGATGGCAGCATCTGCAGCACCATAGGGCTAGCCAGTCCCCACATCCACGGGCCTTCCCCTCCTGCCTTCCTGCAGAACGCCCCAGGAGACTCGAGAGGGATGGTTTTGCCTCCATGAACCTCTGGAAGCTACAGCTGCAGACACCCCTGCAGAACCTGGGCCTGGCTGCCTCCCCGCCATTCCCTCTCCGCTCACCCCCCTTCACTCCAGCCCATGCAGCCCTTCCCCATGTCCCAGGGGTTTGTCTCCACTGGTCTCCAGCAGCCCGCTCCCCTCCGCCCACTGCACTGACCCTGCTCCCTACACTCACCAAGCCTTTCGCGTGCCTGACTCAAGGGACCGCTCCCACCTTTATCCTAACGAGCTCTGGGGGCGCCTGGTACTGGTGCCATTGAGGACCCCCTTCTTCCTGAACAACTCATCTCCTGGCACCTGCTGTTTACTTCCCCCCCATGGCCCTCCCCCAGCCTCCAACCGCTCCGCCTGGGTCTGGTCTCCTGGCCGTTCTTCCTCTGCGTGCCCCACACGTGCTGATGCTCTCTCAGCTGCTGCCCTTCACCAGCCTGTGCCCCCCCTCTCCATCGCCTCCATCCTCAGCTGGCACCTCCTCGTGACAAGACCACACAGTCTCCTGGCCAGACCCCGGCCAGACCCTGCTACCAGCTCCACACTTCTCTTCAAGTGGTAGCCCTTAAACTCCGTGTCTAAAGAGAACTTACTGCCCCCACTCCCCTGGCTGCACATTACTTCTCTCTTGGCCTCCACACAGTGGCCTCCACACAGTGGGCTACAGTCTCAGCACGCTCGGCTCCACCCCACCGCCCCGTGGCTCCCGAGCTGACTCGCAGCCAGTCACCGGAGCCCTAACAGAGGCACCTGAGTGGGGCTCTCTGACTCCCGTCGTTCCTCTCTCTAATCCATCTGCTGGTGCCCCCCCCCCCCCACCCCCCGGAGGAAGAAGCCTAAATTCTTGAGGATGACATCCAAGGTGGCTCTCTCTTCAGATCCATCTCTTGTGCCTCCCACTTCCTCTCTGGCCCAGAACTCTAGCTTCCCCCAGTCTGTATGGTGCTGAACATCCCAGCCTACCTGAGCCTCCCCCGCTCTCCTTTGCCTTCCTTATTCCCTCTGACGGGAATGTTCTTCCCCCATTTGGTCTAACTGTAAACACCACTCACCTTCCAAGACTCAGCCTGAGCCTGGGGAGCCTTGACCCTCAGGACAGAATGACCACTTCCTCTCTGGGCCCCAGCTGAACCCAACTGAACCTGTAGAGACTTCTACAGGAGTCTCTGAGATACTGCTCTATTTGCAAATATTTACAGGTCTGTCCGTAAAATATTTACTCTGCCTACGATACCTTCCTTATGGATGAGAAAATCTCACTCATCACCCCCATGCTGTCTATGAGACTTCTAGAAGGGGAACCAAAGCTCTCATGGGTGGTAGGACTGGGAGTAATGCGAAGATGGCTGTGGGAACAGAAGCTATTTTCTCTCTTTTAATCCTCTTTTATTGTCAAAACTACATTACTCCATAGCATACAGCAAAGCTTTCTAAACATTAAAATGCATTCCTGGGACTTAAAACCTTACATCAGAGGACATAAATGAGGACCTAGCACATTGCTCCTGAAAGACTGCCAACTCCTGCACTCTCCAACAGGGGGCCAGGATGGCTGCCCACTTGGAGCCCTGACTGCCCCCAAAGTGTGTTCACTAAGTCTCGCTACTTAAGCAAGGATTCCAAGGGTCCTGGATAGGGAGGAGGGCCTGGAAACAAAGCAAAGGCACGGTGCACCACTTCACTAATTCTTCTCACCCGGGAGTTCAGCGGCTGCCTGTGGTACAGGTAATAATGCTGAAGGCCCCACCATAATCCTGCACTTTCCTGCCAGGCAGTAAGGAAGATAGCTTCCCAAGCACGCTCAGTTACACTGGGCTGTGGCATTTCTGCTCTGGCCTGTGGACTAAGAAGGCCCCAGATCTCTTACGGGATCCTCCATGGTCTCCTCCCCATTCCACACTGACCTGAGATGACATAGGTTGAAGATGACCATGCCCAACTCGGGAGGAAACTGGGTCCCTGAGTCACTATGGAGTAGAGCTCCCTCTCCCTCCTTCAGTTCACCGGCATGGAACTTTGACAGAAGCAAGAAATCACCTCGTAGCATTTGGCCTCTGAGATCTGGTCATTCTTTGTTACGTCGGTTAGCATTACCTACCCGACCACCACACCATACTGGCCGTGACACACTGGGAAGTCACGCATCCATTCAGCATTTGCTCAACAGCTGATGGCAAGAACTATGTGAGATGCAATTTGCAACTGAGGGAAGGAGACTTCACCTGATGGACCATGAGCTTCTCAAATTCCTCCACGATCTCAGGCAAACTAAGCCACTTGATTCCCGGCAAAAGCGCAAGGACTCGGCTGCCCATCTTCATCAGGAGCAGGTCCATCTGCACCTGAGCTAGCAAGCCAGGGTGCAGCACCTGCCAGGAAGGAGAACAGTGAGGCAGGGAGGGGTCAGGAGGGCACGTTCACCCTGACGGGATGGGGCCCCAGCATCAGGGAGCCAAGCCAGCTTCTCATCAGAGGGGAACGCATGTGGTCCCAACACCCGAGACCCTCCTCTCCCTCACTCCTGCGTGCCTTCGCTCAGATACCAGGGCCAACTCCTCTGCGCTGCACTTCACTTTGCCGGGAAGAACAGGTGGGCTTTTCCTTCCAAATACATTAAGTTTACGTGTCCCAAACATCAGTGTGCATCGAAGTCACTGTGGAGTACCCGGTGTAGATGGGGACAGCCGGGCCTCCACCAAGACCTACTGCATCACCGACTCTGGGCATGGGGCCAGGAATCTGCATTTTACTGAGCACACCAGGTACTGAGTCCAAAGCCTGAGTCAGAGAAGGGTGTAGAGTCACAGAAGCCCAGCAAGGATGCCGAGAGGTGGGATGGAAAGAGTCTGCTTTCAAATGCCTGTTGGTTCTGCAACTCATTCCCAGTCTGAAACTGGCCAAGCTACTCAACCTCTTCAGCCTCCTCTTCCTCTTTTTAATTTTTTTTTTTAAGATTTTATTTATTTATTTGACAGAGACACAGCGAGAGCAGGAACACAAGCAGGGGGAGTGGGAGAGGGAGAAGCAGGCTTCCCGCGGAGCAGAGAGTCTGATGCGGGGCTCCATCCCAGGACCCTGGGATCATGACCTGAGCTGAAGGCAGACTCTCAACGACTGAGCCACCCAGGCGCCCCCTTTTCCTCTTTTTTAAAACATGGAGATAGGGGGCACCTGGGTGGCTCAGTCGATTAAGCATCTGCCTTCAGCTCAGGTCATGATCCCGGGGTCCTGGCATCGAGCCCCACATCGGGCTCCCTGCTCAATGGGGAGTCTCCTTCTCCCTCTGCCTCTGCCCCTCCCCCCTGCTCGCGCTCTCTCTTGCTTATTCTCTCTCAAATAAATAAATAAAATCTAAAAACAAAACATGGAGATAACAGTCCTTACCCCCCCCCCCATGAAGTCCTTTCAGGAACAAAGCAGAGATATAAATAGAGATGTAAGTTAAGCAAATGCCTACCTCAAAGGCAGCTGGTACACACTAAATAATGCGTCCAGGGCGCCTGGGTGGCTCAGTCTGTTCAGCGACTGCCTTCGGCTCAGGTCACGATCCTGGAGTCCCGGGATCGAGTCCCGCATCGGGCTCCCTGCTCAGCGGGGAGTCTGCTTCTCCCTCTGACCCTCCCCCCTCTCGTGTGCTCTCTCTCTCTCTCTCATTCTCTCTCTTTCAAATAAATAAATAAATCTTAAAAAAAAAAAAACCTGTAAATAATGCGTCCACCATGACTGGCACCATCCGCTCCTGTGTCTTCCCCAGAGCAAGAGGGTACTTTGGTCCAGTGTTCCCCAAACGTGCCTGCTCACGGGAATCACTGGCAGCATTTATAAAAAGCCAGGCCTCAGGCCTTGGAAAGTATGATTCAGTGGGTGTGAACAGAGGGTGGTCTCCAAGGAGGTGTAAGAGAGCATCAAGGGTACCTGCTGCTGGGGTCTGCCAGATCCCTGGGATCATGCTGAACGGGGACAGAAAAGTGTGGAGACAAAAATGATGGAGCCCAGGCAGGGGTGACTAAAAAAGAAGAGAGAAGGAAGCCACTTCTGCAAAAATGAATACCGCCATCTTGGGCTCGCCACAGACTGTCCCTGACTTATCCTGGCCCCAGAGGAGTGGCTCAGCTGGGGGGTGGTTCCTCCGCCTATAGAGGCAGCAGACCCCAAACCCTCTTCATTTCCTTTATCAGACTCTTCACACAACCCCTCCCTCGAACCAAGAAATACAGCGTGCTCAGCACAGGCACACAAAGGTCAAGCTAATCAAAATCAGCAGAAGGCAATGTGGGGTGATTTGCAAATGGGGGTTCCTGACCCGGGACCACTCTGTGGAGTCGGTGAAACTTTAGACAGGAAGGACCAGCCGAAGACATCCGAGCACTTACTTTCACTGCCACGGGGATGAGGTGATCCGGCTCAGGCTGGTGGGCAGGTGCTGAGGACTGAGACACGACTGCATTTGATCCAACCGGGTCAGCTTTAGGGAGAAGCAGCCTTTCTAGAAATGACTGGTCAGCAAGACTTCCTTGAAACCCCCACCCCTTCCCCGGGGGGCCAAAGAGCTCTCCCAGCCTCCCGACTGGCCCCGCTTCTGAAGAAGCCTGCAGGTGGGAGGCCTTAGCAAGTCTCTGGACGCTGTCATGCTCCAGGAAGGTGGGATTGGCACGTGCTTTGTACACTTGGGCCACGCAGCCTGAACCCACAGGTTCCTTCTTCTCAAAGCAGAGGACCCTCCCCCAGTCTTCCCCAAATGCCTGGCGCAGGAAGCGTTCAGTGTGAGTCCAAGGGTGGGGGGTCACCCGGACATGCAGCTTGGAGAACTGGTCGCAGAAAGCCTCTGAGAAGAGATCGCGCCGGGTGCTGGCCCACTGGCCCAGTTTGATGTATGATGGGCCTGAGGTCTCTGTGGCTTTCAGAAGCAGGTAGAGCCACAGGCTGGAGACGCTGGGAGCCAGGTAGGTGAGGGGGTAGAAGAGCAGGAGGGGGAAGAATTTCATCAAGAGAGCCCCAGCCCGGAGCCAGATACGGAGGTGCAGAAAGAGGCATCCTAGCCGCCCCCCTTGGGAGACTCTCTCCAGAGGCCCATTTTCAGCTAGGTCACTCCAGCCGGCTCTTCGCTGGCACACACTCTCAGGAGCCCCCTCACCAGTGTCCCCATAGGCTGAGATAAGTTTGGGTAAAGTACCAAGCAGAAGCCAACAGAGTCTGGCATTACGAGAGCATCCAGATGATCTTAAAAGGCCGAGTTCTTTTCGGAGCTCCAAACCCCTCAGGTGCGACAAGCAGACTCTGACGGAGAAGCGCCAGGGGGTCACCATCCTCTCCCAGAGGTCCCTGGCCTAGGCTGCCTGCCCCCCGCTTAAAGGGCACCCATCTATGTTCACGCTTGAGGCAAGGCTGACACGAGTCCAGGACCACAGCTGAGTATCCCACTTAAGCGTGGGGTGCCAGCGAGATCTTGCGCCGCTCGGACCCCGCGTGCAGGCTAAGCGTGGGCAGGCTCCGCGCAGCCCGGCCCCTCCGTCCCCGCCCCACACCCCTCTCCCTCCCGGTACCTCGCCTAAACCTAAGGCCTGAAGCCGGCTGCGCCTTCGGGGGCTTTCAGAACTGCACCGACTGTGAGGACGGGAGGGGCCAAGCCAGACGCCCGGCCAGGCCCAGAGCGGGGACGCGACCTCGCGCGGGCGGAGCCGGAGCCTGGCGGCCGCAGGGCACCCCACACCACCAGCTCGGTGGCCGGGCACCCGCCGAGGGCCACAGCGCGGAGGGGCTAGGCGGGGTTGGGGGTGGAGGTCGGCGCGGAGGGCCCGGGTGCCGAGAGCCGGGGGGTGGCGGAGGCAAGGGTGGTGCGGGGGAAAAAGGAAGGCACACCCGGGACAAAGCGCTGAGAGCCGCGGCGTGGGGGAGGCGCAGTGCGGACCGCCGGAGACCCAGGCACCGGGTGCCCGGGTCGGGAAGAGCCAGGGGCCGGGAGGTGAGGGGAGCAGAGGTTCAAAGATGAGGGCCCGAGGATCCGGACGCCGACAGCGGGAAGGGTGTGCGGAAGGCCGGCGATCGGGATGGAGAGAGTGGGGAGGGGAGTGCTGGGGATCAGGGTGAAGAGGGCGGGGAGAGGGGTGCGGAGGGCCGGAGTCCGGCGACCGCGAGCCGTGGAGGGCGCGCGGAGGGCTGGGGATCCGACGTCGAGGACTCGGCGCCCGCGTCTTCCGGGAGCGCCCCGCCCGCCCGCTCGGGCTCCGCCCCTTAAAGCGGAAGCAGTGCGGACACCCTCGGAGGCTAGCCTGGCCCTCGGGTCCTGGATTCCATAGATAGGTTTAATGCAAAATGCAAAGGCACCCTCTGTGCCCTCCCCTTCCTCCGTGCCTCTCAGTCTCCACGGACATCTTTGTAACTTTTCTTACAAAGGGCATGGAAACGCTGAGACGCGCAGTGAATTGAAAGCCCGTTCTGCACACAGGTAGGGTTTTCAGCTAAGCAGAATGTGAGGAGAGGCGGGGAGAGGTTATCCTTGGACGGAGAGTTCCAGGCAGCATTGATTTGGGGAATGTGTTTGGACCTTGAGGAGTGGCTCCTGAAAGACCATGCTTATTCATTCAACCAATACTTTTTGATCCCAATACGTATTTCTTAAGCAGAATCTAATATTATCAAGGCTCCATAATATGTATTAAAACTAGGTCTCATGCTAGGCCCCGGGACATGGAGACACACGACGACACACGGAGACACACATCCTGCCCTTACAAGATGATCACTCATGAGGGAGACCCCGCAGGGGAACACATAATGTGCAATTTCAGTGTGGCAAGAGCATGAAAGAAATGAAGAATTGGGAGAACCCCCAAGGATGGCAGCTACTTTGGAGAGGAAGGGTGTTCAGACATGTAAAGAATAAAGCCCTCAAGAGGAAGGAGTTGAGTGTGGGAATTTGGGGGCGGGGGTTGTTGGTTTGATTTAACCTTGAGGAAACAAAGGAAGGTCATATGGCTCTAAACAGCAAGGGGGAGAGAAACAGAGGTGATGGTGAGGGTACTAGGGGCTGTAGCCCCGTGTTAGAGGTGGCGATGGTGCTGTTGTTGGTGATGGTGGTCGTGGTGGGGTTAGAGGTGCAACTTCTCAAGGATCTATAGTCACCCAAGCAGGTGAAGTTGAGGGATTCCTGGGGTCCACGTGACTGTCAATGAGGAGAATGATGTCATCCATATTAAGGCACATGGGCAGCAAAATCACACCGTTCTATCAGATATGAACCCTAACTCAGAATTTGCAAGGGCAGCCTTTAAAAATCGCAGATGTTGGGGCGCCTGGGTGGCTCAGTCGTTCGTTAAGTGTCTGCCTTCAGCTTGGGTCATGATCCCGGGGTCCTGAGATCAAGCCCCGCATCGGGCACCCAGCCTGCTTCTCCCTCTCCTACTACCCCTGCTTGTGTTCCCTCTCTCGCTGTGTCTCTCTCTGTCAAATAAATAAATTCTTAAAAAAAAAAAAAATCACAGATGTTGATTTGCAGTCAAGCTGCTTCTCACATGGGTCATTTTATGTAATCTGGTTCAGGATTAGTAACAGCACAAATGTATTTGGGATGGTTAATGACTTAAGAGACTAAATATACAAATGGACACTGGCCAATATATGACAGTAGAACTCGGACCCTCGGCCTCTGCAGCCACTGGCCCCAGACAGTCAGGACTTGGTCAATGACTGCCAACTTCTCTAATTTTCATCCCCCACTTCCATCTCAGGACCAACCAGAGAAAGCCAAATATCTTCTCCAAACCGATCACAGAGGATGCCCAGGCCTCCAGCTGCTTTGTGCCAACCACCGCCTATTAGGGCACACCTGAAGCCTTTTTTTTCCCTCTATAAACCTAGCATTTGAGTCTTCGCGGGTATTTGAGTCTCTGCCATGTGCAAGTGATGGTGGCTGACTTCCCTGCTATAGAAATCTCTGAATAAATAGCCTCTGTTTGTTCTCATTTGGGTGGACCCCATTTTTTTCCCATAGAAATTTTCTTCACAGCTAAGCCAGCTAACTATTAACAGTTTCCAGTTCTTGGAGATGTTCCTGCTGTTGCTGTTGACCCTGGTACCACTAAGTGGCACCATTCGCTTGTGAAGTGCACCGAAGCCTCCTCCACGTTCCCAGACCCCACCGAGAAGAATCGAATGGGCATGGGAAGAGAATGGCAAAGGCCCACCTGGCTGTGCTTATCTTTTCACAGGACCCAGATGACTGTGATTTTAGCATTTCCCTTGTAACATGGTTACACAGCAGATGGGATGCAGGGCAAGTACTTGTTCAAGACTCCCGGGGAAGGGGGTAGAGATGGGAATGGGCTCAGCAACCAATTGTTGTCGACCTCAGCACGTTTCCCATTTGGGGCAGGATAAATCTTTGTTGTGGGCGGTGGAGGGGAAGCTGAACTGTGCTTTGTAGATGTTTAGCAGCATCTCTGGCTTCTACCCACTTGATGCCAGAACACCCCCCCACACACTTTTCCAGACTATGACTTTAAAATACATCTTCCAACGTTGCCAGATGTCTCCTGGGGAACAAAGTTGCCCCTAGGGGAGAACCACAGGGCTTAGCTCCTGTGGAGGACAGTTCTCTGTCCTCAACACACACACACACACACACACACACACAGTCATTTTCTTCAGAACAGGGTATCAGGGAAGGGAAGCCCCTGAGCAGGCCTGCTGCAGCCCCTGATGCCTGAGGATCCCTGTGGGGAAGATGAGACTCGGCTTCCGCCCCCCCCCCCCGAACCTAGGGGATTGTTAGGCAAATAAAAGTTCCAGGACTGACTCCCCCCAGGTCCCGCTTTGTACACCTGGCCTGCAATCAGCTCCCAAGAGAATGGGACCTTGGCATGAAAATTCTGGTCCTGGGCCACCCACCTACAGCTGCTCCTCAAACCCATAGAGTAGGACTATCCGAAATAGCGCTGGAGAAGGAAGACATGGAGGGAGGAGGCTGCCGCAGGCTCGCCCACCTCCCTCCACACGTGTGGCAGCGATTCTCACAGCCCTCCCTCACGTGGGCCCCCTGGCCACCTTCCCGCTTCCTCCTTTCTTTCTCCTTAGTGGGGCTGTTATGGGAATTTCTCCTCCCCTGGGTCCCACCTTCTGGCTTGCTAGGGTTGCTCCAGCATGCCCCAGGGGCAGGTGCTGCCCTTGTGCAAATGTCCGGTGGCCGGGCAGGTCCCCTCCCTCCTCGATAAGGGTCTTGGTCATGCCCAACCGAGAGGCCCCTTTCTGCTCTGCTGCTCCCTGGCTTTCTACGTCTCTGCTCCCAAGCCGGCCACGTGAACACAGTGGCTCCCACCCGTGATCCTAGTGGCTGAGCAGCAGGGTTTGTCCTGGGTTAGACTGCTGGGCCCTTCCGGGCTTTGGCCCTCATTCGCAGTGGCCTTGAGCAAGGCACCTACCTCTTTTGGGCTGTTTCTTCACTGATAAAAGAGGCTGACACTAGAACCTGCCTCCTAGGTGGTCTCTGCAAAGCCTTAGCTTTAGCTGGCACACACCCAGCCATACGGGAAAAAGCAGAAAGGGTGAGAACTGGCAGGTGCCCTTTTTTGCCTATTTGAGAAGGCAGGGAGCTGGGGATGGCCTGAGGGCCAACTGCCCTGATCTCCCCAGACACCTGAGACCCACCAAAGGGAGTAGCCAAGCCCAGACCACACTGCTATCTAGGCTGGTCAGATGTCACCTGGCTCGCCTTTAGGACAGTATTTTTTATTTTGCTCTAAGTTGATCTGAGATACAGGAAGTGGATCAGATATTAGGGCCTCCCAGAAGCATCTTCCTTCAAGGTGTGGCCTCTAAGAGGCAGTCCAGTTATTTGGAAGCTGAAGGCTGAGATCAGGGCTGGAGGGACATTAGCAAGGCGGGGATGAGCTGGCGGGTTTTGAGTCCATGCATGCAGCTCGGAGCTCATAACGCTGTGTGATGAAAATGTTTGGAGGGACTCTCCCTCTCCCACACCTCCCTCAGGTTTGAGGAGGTTGTTTAGCTGGCTGGGAAGTAGGTCAGGGAAAGCTCTGAGAAGCAAGCTGTGAGTCCTCAGGCCAGTCTAGAGCTGGTCCGACTGTCCTAGCATGTTCGGCAATCACAGTGAACAGGAAGATCTGTAGCTGCTCAGACGCAGAAATCTGTGACTCAAAAAAAAGAGAATCTAAACCACCACACTCTCGTTCCCTTCCTTCATGTTCAAATGGGTCTCCCAAAAGGAACAGAAAGGAATATGAGTAGAGAGTATTTGGCATGGCAGCCTGACATTTGAGACTGCCTAATGGTGAATGCTGCAGAATGTCCATGACTTTGTTCTCCGCTTTCGGTCATAGACACACTAATCCTTGTAAAGCTATGAATGCCTTAATTCTTTGTGGGGGAAAGAAATGACCCTCCAAAGCCAGGGGCATAGAAGTGCAACAGATGGTTCTTAGGCAAAAATTCTGTTATTGTGTTACTTGCCAATTCAGTGATTCTTTGAGATTTCCAGTGGTACCCTGACAAATGTCGCTTACTCCACAGCGCCCCCTAATGGGCCCCCACAGCGGCCCATCTTGCAGCCCCACTGTGGGAGGTAGAAGGCAGCAGAGCACCCAGAGAGAGGAAGAGAGGGTACAAACCGATCTCAGCCAAAGACCCGCCCTTCACAGCAGGAGAGGATGAAGAAGCCTGGGGCCCTCAGTCTGGGCCCTGCTCACCCCTTCCCCTGGGTGGCCTCCGCGGCCCCTCCCACCCTCCCCCTCCCTCCCCACACCTCCTGGATGACATTTGATTGGAACCAAGAACAAACCAAACCTGGGTTTGAGGTTTGGGTGGGATGGTTGGCTTGGTTTTGTTTCCTCAGAGGGAGGCAGATGAGGATTGTGGTGGATGGGAAGGAACTCGCATCCAGCTGTCTCTAGGCAGGAGAAAATGGGCCAGGGATGGGATTACAATGGAATGAGAAGGGAAGGAGGGCAAGGGCTGCCTAAGGAGGACAAGAGCAGGGGAGCCCTGCTGCTGGTGGGCTCACGTCAGCCACTGGAGCGACGTGGAGGAGCTTTGCCAAGAGCATGTCAAGGTGAGGCTGTGGATTTTTCCCTGCCCCTAAAATAAGTTCCTTCCTTGCTCAGCCACATCCAGATGTCACGGGCCGGAGCATAAGGGAATGATTGCTCTCCCCACA